ACAACATTAATGAAAGTACTGATTTAGTAAGATCTTACTTTCAAAGATGTTCCTCAGTATTTTGTTTTTAATATTCAGGAGTGAAGAATTTCAAATAATTGGGGTGAAAATCAGATTTTGTAGCATAACCAATTCAAAAATTCTTTTTTTTTTTAACCATTTTCTTTCTTCCAATTACTGTGAAGTATTCTGGCTTTTATGTAACATTCGCTCTTTTCTTTACCTTACACTGTTTTTGCTATTAAAGAGCAGGAAACAGTTTCTGATGTGCAAACAATAAAGGGGCTATTTGTAAGTTCTCCACCGAACGTAGTTTCTTACCAGGAGCGGGTGGCGGTGATTGTCACTTCTCAAGATCTTCTATTGCGTTTACAAGAAAATAGGTTATAATACCTCTTCTGAGCAGCTCTACTTCTTTAGAGTATATTGGAGGCTATAGTGATTTGGTATCAGAATTTGACAAGATGAGGTGGAGCTAGCTGGTTAGCATGCTAACTTAGAAAAAAGTAGCAGAAGAAAGGACATGTTAGAGATAAGATTTAACATTGGCTTTCCAACACTGAAAACAGAACTGGGCGAATGAAGGAATGATGTTTCTTCTAGGCTGGTAAGTAAACAGCTGTTGATGCTAATGCTAGCTATGTAGCAATAGAAAAACTTCCAAATAGGTCCTTTAAAACCACAGAAAATAAACCGATTGGAACGGATGTAATATTTTAAATATATGGGTATTTTTCTCTCATTTTTGTTGAATAAGTGTTTTTTTAAAACCCTTGATATATTGCTGTTGGAAATGTGACTAAAGAAGTGAATCACAGATCAAATGTGATTCATTTACCCCCAGTTAAACTACTGTAAAGTACTAATGACTCATTCTGCTCCACAAGAGTTGATCTTTGTGATCCGGATCTTTTAACTTTATTGTTCTAAAGTTGTATGACAAAAAACAAATACATGATGTTTTCAGTAATAACAGGGCTGAGATAAAACCCAACTGACACTGTATATCACCAGTCTGTGAGGATTTTAACATGTGCGGGAGCCAGAGCATGAAGATACAAAAGTCATTAATTGATCCTTGATGAATTATCTTTAGTACGTTTGCCTCAATAAATCAATCCCAAGTAACGCCCTCTCCTCTCAGAGGAAAGGCAGTTATGACCTAAGCTGAGTGCAATAAGGTGTGTTGCTGCTGTTTACTTACTGAACAGCTGATAGCGTGATGGAATGACCCTGTTAACTTGTTTTATTTAACAACACTATAATTCTCATCTTCCTCTAACAGAGACTGAATAAACGGTACACACCTTGAATCACAAGTGTTGGTTTCAATTCCCATGTATAAGCATCAGTTCCTTGAAATGCCCCTTGAGGAAAGCAACAACTGTTTCCTCGAAAGGATGAACATTGCACCGTCTTGACTCCAAGACCTCTTCATCTTTATCCTAAGCCCCCCTCTCTCCGACAGCACCTGCAGACCATTTTCTGCTAATTTCAGTATATTCCTCTTCAAAATCAATACGAGGTATTGATCCTCAAAGGGAGACGCATTATTCCAATAGGCCTTTTTCACAGAAGTCATTTTGACTTGTCACATCAGAAGAAGCACAAGTGTGAATAATGCAGTTAATGATGGCTGGATTTCATTTAGCTGCTTCACATTCAGGGCTATTAGAAACGTGAGCTTTGCTTATGAGTCAAATGCCCATTGTTTCTTTGAAAAAGACTTGTTTGCCTAAATCACACTGTTTTTGTAAACATATCTAATGGCCTTGAACCATATAGACAGTTCCAGTTTTATGTGCTAGTGCTTTAAGCCATGAAATATTCATAATGGAGGTGAATGGAATTTTATTTGTGGTTCTCACAATGTTGAAAAAACATAGAAATAAGAATTTATGCTTGTCCATAAAACACTGTAAAATGCTACCTATTAAAGAGAATTCTTAGAGCGATTTCAAAAGCTTTGTAAAAACATTTAAAAACACTAGCTGTGTAAAGTTATACAGGTGAAAAAAAAAAACATTTTTGTGATCTGTGCGAGTCAAGCAAAACGTAAAAAATCAGATGCTTTGATTTAAAATCATGTGCATCCAAATCATTTTGGAACCCATCCTTGATTTTGTAGTGGTTGACATTAGGTGTCATAACAAATTTTACACATGCCTTGATTGCAGTTGGATGTGTGAGTCTATGTATTCTGTGCTTATACTGTCTTGCCAACATCCCATAATGGGCAGCAGACAGACATTGTTTGGCACAGGGAAGCGTTTAAAAAGGGATGATGAGCAATGCTACAACTACAGAGTGGGTGTCCAAAAAAAATAAGATGAGTTTCAGTCACCATGAAAATTAGAATGCATAAAAAGAAAAAAAACCTCTCATCTAATGTAAATGAAAACAAGACTAAGGCAAGACTACAGCCAAGCTAACATGCTCTCAGTAACAATGTTAGCATGATGCTAAGAAGGTATAAAGTTTACCATGTTCATCAGTTGGTTTAGCATAGCATGCTACCATTTGACAATTAGCACTAAATTAGCTAATGTTGACATGATGGTGGTAGAAGACAAATAGATAAGAGTGATAGGTGATTACATGAACGTGCGTACCAAGTGTCATTGTAATCCAGGCAACACTTAGGAAATGACTGAAAAACGAAATGAAATGTTGGCGTCATGGTGACACGAGATGAAAGGTCAGGGGATCACCAAAGCCAGTAGGATTCCTCCTGTGGGAATTATCTGAATGTCTTTAGCAAATTTCACAGTGACCACAGTGGCTGTTGTGATAATGAATAACCACAGTAGCTGTTTTGATCATTTCATTTCGGACCAAAGTGGTGGACCGACAGATCAACACTGCCATCCCTAAAGCCACACTGCTGGCATGGCTATAAATACACAACACACAGCCTGGCAGCAAGATCCACCAGCTCTCCTTCGCCCTATAAGACCACAGGCTGATCTCTGATTTTCATTCAGTCTCACCTGAGCATGGAATGTACCATCTGCTCAGGTAAGCACAGGGGTGACTTAAACAGGCGCAATCAACATGCACAGAAGGAAATACACATTAACAAACAAAACAGACACTTAGAAAGTTTGTGGTACTGAAATGTAGCCATGGGCACGTGTACACACACACACACACACACACACACACGAGTGCAATGCCATCTGCTTTAGAGCGAATTGACCTTTCTTTCAACCACTTCACAGGCCCAGCTAGGGGCTACAACCTGCACACCTGTTTTCACTTGAATTTAATTAGCATACAGTCAGGGGAAAAACACTGTATTTGTTAAAGCTGAGTGATAAATTTAGTGACTACATTTAAGCTGAAATGCACTGATAATGCAATGATTAACACTGATAATGTTGGGGAAATTGCAATTAGATATTTCTAATTGCTCAGCCCTAATTTTGAGTGGCAAAGAAACATCCTGTTCACTATGCATTTAATAAGAATCTTAATGACAACACCAGACAAAACCAAGGGACATGTCCTAATCTCGATATGATCAATTAGCATGCGCGACGCATACAGTATGCCAGCTCATTTCAGCTAACAGCTGCCCCTGTTATCCATCTTTGAGCCTTAATTAGCTTACTGTTGTAATTATGAATTATAGGTCAGACGTGACTACACATGCATCATCTGACCACTGTTGGAGGGTTATTTCCATTTTTTTTCTCTGTCTGTCCTGACTGACTGGATGCATGGTGTTTATGAATGGGGGCAGAAATGGCTAATAGGCTAATATCATAAGCATGCAGAATGAGAGCATCAGGTTAACACACCACCTGCTGAGAATCACAGCACCGAATTGATTTTAACGAGGTTGCTTTTCCAAGCAGGACAACGATTATGGTACATGTTCCGTCCTACTTCTTTAGATGTGCTTCTTGGAAATAAGCATTTGTGCAAGCATGCCCCCACACATATTTAATAAATGTGGTGATGCACACAAACACAAACATCAACAGCCACAGCATACAGAATCAGGGCTTTCTGAACACGGCTCTAAAGCATCAAAAACTAAATGCATCTGTTACCTGGCAACAACATGTTGCTTAAAGATTTGCTCTCTCACTTTGTTATTGCACCTAACGGAGTCTACACATGTTAAGTTTAAAAATGATTGTGCCTTCAGTATTGATTGTGTTTGTGGATTTTTTAAAGCACATCTTTTATTGATCTTTTTTTCATCAATTAACAAACAAACAAGCATAAAAACATTACAGCCTTTGTTGATCTGACATATTTACATATAAAAGTGAGCACAATTCATGTGGCGAAAATGAAAACCATATAACTAAATCAGTAATAAGTGTTATTTTTCATACATTATTTAAACATATGTATAGCCTATAAATATGATATCTTTTTAAAAAAAAAGTATTTATATTGAAATTATAAATTAGATCCTTGGGAGTTTCTACTGAACGGGCAATCTGTCTGCAGTATGTACTGTGTGATTTAGCAAGTGAGTTACTGCAATGCCCTGGTTTTAATTTACCTGACTTACCAAATGTTGCTTCACAACCATTATGCTAAATGAGAAGTGCTTGAGAGAAGCCCCCAAGCCCCGTATCTCTGAATGTCCAACATTTGTGAAGGCTGACACTCAGGTATTTCTTTTGGCATACAATTTATGAAATACATGCATACAGAATAATGAGCAAACATTTGTCTGTTGAGATTAAACCACCTCAAAGCTGCCCTGTAGGATTCTTGTTGTTTTATATTGTGCAGGTAGTGTCCTCTTGTGGCAATACGTAGGAATTGCGCTCTCACTATCTGAGTCACGTCACGTTTGCAGAATCGATTAGTTAAAACCTGCTGATGACAGACTGAAAAACAAATGAACCACTCTGTGATGGATTGAATGTCTTGATGTACATGTACATTCAGTGTGTTTTTTTCTGCTGCTGATGTAGTATGCTGATTAGTTGTTGTGGGAGTTAATAAAAATCTGTATGTTCTCAGAGAGTCCTTCACAGATGGGACACTTCTGGCAGGTTGGTGGCTCTCTCTGCCTGGTTCCCTGCAGCGGGCCGCTTCATGTGGAGCACAGTATACACACCTCTGACTGTGAACAGCATTGCAATAACGGCAAAGTACGAGGCGTAGATGAAAAACTGAAGAGAGAAGTGAGGGTGACTTGAAAGGTGGAGGATGACTGATAAATGAATTAATGAACTCACGCATTTATTTTATCTTTGCCTCTTGTGGCCTGGCTCTCTCTGTATGTTCATCAAATGCCCTTCAAACAGCGTCATTTTCATAAACACTCCTAATTGTCTTTATCAATTTGTCAATTTATCTCCTTTTCCTTGTGAACCTCTATAGCCTCAGTTTCAAATTGTTCATGTGCTGTAGTACCTGGGAGGTGATGGTGAGCTTGAGAGACTTGGTGTTGATGACGATGGCGGTGAGGACACTCTGGAGGACTGTGCCCACAAAACTGTTGATGCCGAATACCAACGCATAGCGCTTTCTGTTCAGTGCCTTGGCGATCTGAAACCTGACATATACAATATAAGATGCTACGCAGTACATTAACAATGCAAATGCAGATTCATATATTAAGGGTTCAAGTGAAGGAGCTACAACAAATGGCAATCAAATGTAGAAAAAAGGAATAGGATTGAAAAGATGAACAAGTCTGTAGCCTACATGGGGGTTTGAGCTGCACGCTAACGTCAGCAAGCTAATATGCCCAAATGACAATGTTAACATGCTGATGTTTAGTAGGTTCTGATAACAAGGTTCACTATCTTATTTTAGGGTTTTAGCATGCCAACATTTGCTATTTAGCACAGTTTAAGTACAGCTGAGGCTGATGGGAATGTCATTAATTTTGCAGGTCATTAAAAAAACATTGGACAAGTTACATTTCTGATCTAATGATAGTGCTAATGAAACATTAAGGGATCACCAGAGTTATTACGATTCATCATGAACAGGACATGAATGTTTTTACCAAATTTCCTGTCATTTCATCCAATAGAGACATTTCACTTAAAACCACTAATTCTAACCCCCTGGTCGCACCAGAGGAAAAGTTTGGGGATATAAGTCAGTAGGATACATCGTCTGGGAACCATAAATGTCTGAACAAAGTTTGGTTTCAATCCATCTATTACACATTGAGATATTTCATCAGATTAGTGACAACTTTGACCTTCTGGTGCCACAAGAGGAACAGCAGAGGAACAGACGGCATGGACGAGACAGATGTGAGTGCCACAATAATAAAAATGAAGGAAAAATAACCCAAGCTGAAAACAACCAGAATGATTCCTTTGGCTTTTAGTGTCACAGGTGGATGTAACTGATTTATGCCATGCTCGGGCCAGTGATCTTTTCATGAGTTTAAAGCACAGCTGGAGGCTAAATTACCCAACAAAGTCCAAATAAAATGCCAGATCAACATGCTCAAAGGGTCATTATCTGTCCTACAGCAACATTAAATATGGTAACAATTTGTTTGAACTTATTCTCCATTTACCACAGAACAGACCGTAATGGCTTGCAAGACACATTTGAATTTTTTTTTTTAAAACAAAACATCTTGTGGTTGATGATGCATTAGTGGTATCATATATTTAATCCACACAGATACAATTGAATTGTTAATCAGTGGTCTTTTATACAGACATTTGGCTGCTGACATATCCGCAACCTTCTTACGTGCAGATGGTGCTGAGCTGCATGTAAACAGTTTTGAAGAGGATGTAGCATGTGTAGCTGATCCAGATGTTGTCAGTCAGATCCATCAGGAATACAGACCCAGCGATCAGGAGCGTGAAACCCCCAAGGATCAGTTCCCCCCACACAGACCACTCCAGGGACATGTGGCCCACGGCAACTGTGGCTGCAGCTCCTAAAGGAAAATAACAACCACTGTGTTTTTATTGTGAGGTAAACAAGAAGTAGCAAAACATGACAAAGAGAGACCTCAGGGGCCAACACATAAACTGTTCAGTGAATCATTGGTCAGGTTTTTTTCTTTTTTATTTAGTCTTTATTTAATAATTTAGTAACTTCAAAATGTCATTTTGGAAAAGAAATAAAACGGCACTTGAACATCAACATATAGTTACATCACATCTGGATGTGAACAGAACTCTTACATGATGGGCTCGATCATGTAAGAGGTATTAATTCAACTCAGATTTCAGAGATAGTTGATCTAACACCATACACACATAACAAAATAAGTAGCTGGGCAACATGCTTGTCTTCCACAGCCCCGTGCCTGGCAGCATGATTGTCAGATGCTACTCGCACATCTGGACAAACTCTGGCTCGCACACAGAAAATATTCCTGCTGTCAGCCAATATTGGAGGATAACAGCTGTGGAGGTATCTGGGCCAGACTTGGACCGAGTATCCAAGCATATGTTGCACCAGAAGTTTCATACGCGAACAAGACTATATCAGAAACGTGCTGGTACTGTATGGCTGTGGTGAGGATGTTACTGATATACTGATTACTCTTATCAGTGTTAAATGTACAGATTCCTGTCCATCTACCAGCAGAAACTGTGCTGAAAGGACTGTAACACTTTGGACTTACTACAACATTACCAATGAGAAAGAGCTGCTGTAATGGTCTCACAGGCTATATGATCTCATTTAGGTATTGGACAAAGGCCTCTCATATGGTTGTCTCTCATTTTCTTTTGCCACTACTAAACCGTAACGGCCCCTGCTGCAAAGACCATCGGGCGACTTCCGTAAACAAGGTGAAGCCCATTGAAACGCCTCTGGAGTCCACACTCACTAAAGTGCAAAGCACTTTACCACAGCACCATGACAACCCACCGACAATAGATGTCAAATAACGTGCAGTAGGAATGGACAGGTGAGCCAAAAACAACAAAAGTTTCTTCTAACTCAACAAATCAATAAAATGGCACAATTTTTCAGGGGAGTCTGAGGACTTTCTCCCTGGGCATCACAGGATTATAGCCTCTCATAGTTACTGTTTGCAGTGTCTGTAAAATCTGACAAGTTTACTGTCACAAACATCTGCTGCCTTTCTTTGCAGGTAAGACACATACAGTATTTTAGACTGCCATGTTTTGCTGCTTACTGTCTCCAAGAAATTAAAAAAAAAAAAAAAATAGGCACAGGTAGCTTAAATTTCATTCATTCATCACTCATTCTGTTACATTCAGTTCATCCCTTACACCGATATTCAGCAACATTCTCATCACTGTATCATACAGTCTCACAAAAGGTCACTTTTCTGAGAGATGTCCAGTGATATACGAAACTATGAGTTTTTAGCAGCAGGAAAAATATTTTTGATAGAATTCCTCTCTGATACTAATGTCCCAACATTACTAGTTGAACTCTGAGCAGGTAACGAGTCATTTTTGGAAAGTGTTGTTCCTCATTTCAGCCACAGGATGGCACAGTGCAGCCCTGTTACATCTCAAGGCTCGTTTCGCCTCATGTGAAACAGTCATGAGAAACTTTGTCCCTGTGGATGGATATAAAATCAGGAACTCCAGACAGAGAATCTTTGGAGCATTGATTATTCTAGGACTCTTGTCTGCCTTCTTTCACCCTCTCTCTATCCCCTGACATTTTCCCCATCTCCTTTTCTCACATTACTTTAACTTCCTCGCTACATATTCATCACGTTCTCCATAACTACCACTGCTTTGTCAAATCTTTTTTTTGTGTGTGTGTAATTACTAAAGGAATAAATGAATAAAACCAGAGTCACATTCAGTGAAGCGAGTGTAAATAAGGATACCACTTATACCTTCGAGACATTCACTCGCAGCTCTTTATCCACCACAGTATAAAGAGAGGCTGAGCATAATTGCCTCACTCTTTTAAATGTGTACATTTCCTTTGATTCCTTATCCATTCATGGTCAATCAGCACTAACAGTCCAGCATAAACATCACCCAGGCCACCCTGTGTGTATTTAAGATGTACTTAATCAGTCCCATGGCTCTGATTAGCAGAGGGGGGTCAAATGGAGACTGAATAATTAGACCAGTTTCCACAGCAGTGTCAATTGGAGGCTTAGTGAGGTCAGCATGAGCTAGCTGTTCAACTTCATAGAGAGGGATCAATAATGCAGCTGAGCTCTACAGTATGTCCACAATGCAGCAGTGCATGTTAAACACCACATTGGTGGTAAAATCTCTGTTTAATTGGATAACTGGATTACATAATTTAATTCATGTTATATCTCATATCAATATGAATTTAGAGAGCCATTGTAACTTAGGCTTCAAAAACACTTTGAAGGTTTGGACAAAGATCGTGGTTTGGTGAAGGATAGGGAACGACTGAAGAGAGGGTTAATTACTGAAAAACAAACGTGTCCTACCACCTGATTTAAATCGGTGTGGACTTTGTGAAAATTTTAACTTTGGACCATGACCTTCCTGTAACCTAACAAAACCATCTCCAATGAGAAATGTATTGATTTCGGACAATTTTGCAAAACCCCAGATCATGCCCAATGCCAAAGTTTGCTTTGCATGCAATGCTTGCTACATTATCTTCGCAAATAAATTATGGCCAAAGTTAGGCAACTACGACACCTTGTTATGGATATGGAAAAATCATGAGGACAGATAATAAACATACCCCAGTCTCCTCCATAAAAGGAAGAGAGTGCTGTACACTCATCCATCTAACCAACCTCCACAAACTTACTTTCCATCTCTCTCCATGACAGTCACGCTGCTTCCTGCATTTCCACTGAACTTAGGCATTGGACCTCAATATTCAGGTACAGAATTGTCAGATTTGGACGTAAATTTCTAGTGATACTGGTCCGAACCTGAACCAAGTGCGATGATTTGCCTTCACGCAACGATCAAAAGTTAATCCTGTATTTAGTTTCTACAAGTGGATACTGTAGGGAGAACAAACATGTTGTTGTAATATATTTCTCTGCTTGTTTTCAACACAGTTTGGTTACAAATTTTGTCTGTTTTGATTAAAAACAAACTACTGCAACAATTTAGGGTTTGACTCTTGCACTCTCGGGAAGCTATCAAGACTCCACGACCTGCTAGCAGCTCCGTGAGACTGTGCACAGCAGTGCTAATAATTCTAACATGCTGAAGTAAGACAGTAGTGTTTATCATGCTTACAACAGCTAATTAGCGCTAAGCACAACAGCTGAGGCTGATGGGAATGTCATTAGTTTTGCAGGTATTTAGTCATAAAGTATTCAACATATTTAATGACAGTACAAAAGGAAAAATAAGAGAATCAGCAAAGTCACTGGGATTCATCATGTGGAAACCATGAATATCTGTACAAACCTTTGTACCAATCCATCCAGTAGATGGATGCGATATATTATTTTATGAATGAAAACTTTGACATGCTGGTGATATTAGAGATTACAGAAAAAGCCAGGGGATCACCAAGGTCATTAGGATTCACCCTCTGGGCATCATGGATATCAACAGGAAATTTTGTGTTTCATGTTTGGGTTTTCACAGTGATTACAGTATAACTTCTATGGGGGAGTACATTTTAAATTGGTACACACCATATCACCAGTGTGTAGCCTAAATCTAAATGGAAATATATTCATCATGCAGTTTCATGCCAAATTAAATGGAAAACATTAGACATCCCTGACCTGGGAGAGGTTATGTCCTGACTGAAACTATGGTCTGACGACATTATCCAGGGATGGAAATAGATGTTTGATGTGTAAATGATTTGTAATTACTCCTTTAGACCACAGATAAATAAATGGGTCGAGGTGCCCTGTAACTACCTCTCCTTGAAAATCAAACTGTACAACACAATAAAACTGAACATAATTTAGTTTGTTCTGAATACACATTTGGTTTTATCTTAAAACTAATGAGCTACTAAAAAATGCTGCTTTCAAGCTCCAGGACATACAGTTATTAATATGCTGAATATGAAAATAGTAAATTATGTTGTGCTTTTCCTCCATATTTTATCATGTTGGTAATCCATATTCATATTTTCCCTATCGGTTTTCACCAGGTTTTTTTCCTCAGGGATGTTTGCTAAGTGTGGAATACAGAAAAATACAACAAGCATCTTTGGGGAAATATCAGACATGGGCTCTACAGCTTGACTGCATGTTGGGCAGAACCATTTACAAGTGAAAGGCATACAGCTGGATGTGGTTTACACAGAGTAATTGCCTTTGGTTTCTGGGGAATACAGGAATGTATCAGTAGTATAATCAATAAAGTGCGCTGGCTGGATGGCAGCAGCTGCTGCCATACCCATCTGGGGATGAGAGCAGGCAATTAAATAGTCTAATTAATGCTGCTCCTATTGTCTGCCGTGCTTTAGGGGTTGTGAAATACTGATAGTATAAAGGGATTGTGTTTTCTCTCTGTTTATTTATTCAATTATTTTTTGTGGCGGAATGTGTATAACACCCATAAGCCGTAATGAAAATGTTTGGACTTGTTTTTACAAGAATCTCAACCAATTCTCTTTAAGCTGGATACGCAGCAGTTGCTACTCAGAATTAATCAGAGGTTTTAGGATTTGAATTCTCTTGTGTTGGACTGATAGTGCAGGTGTGAAATGTGGGAGGTGGCCTGTTTTGATCCTTTTCCCTCGAAACGCAAAATTCAAACAGTTCTTAAAGCTGTACCAATTAGACATTCAATAATGTAGAATATTGCAATATTCCCCGCCATATGCAATATTTTTCATGATATCAAAAAAGAAAAAAATTCTCGATTGCTTGAATGACTACATGTTATGTCAAAGGTATCGCACAAACCATAAAACATCACCTATCTCTGCAATTCTCTTCAGCTCTTAACAGAGCTTTTTAGCATATTTTAACTCATTGTTTTAGATTTACGGCCAGCAACTTCACTGTTTTTGTTTCAGTCTCACTGGTTTTCAGCCACAGCCAGCAAATATTTTCAGGCCAAGATTCAATGTACTAACTGCCCAGCACTACTGTGGACAGGCAAAGCTTGTGAACTAATGCAGCAGCTCCAGAACCAGATATTTCCTTAAGGAGGAGACCAAAAAAGAGCAAAAAAAGAGTGAATATTTGACTTATAATCATCAGGTTGCCAGAAAAATGTCTCTGAATGAATTGAAAATGATGGATATGGTTAGAGTTAAGCTGCTTTCACACACAATGGCACCACTGCACTCTGAAACCCATTATTTCTAATGGCTTGCCATCCGGCGAGCACAAAACGAAAATGGAGGAGAGCTCCATCACAACCCTAAATTCCCCAAGCTGCTCTCAGTACCTGAGGGTCTCATGTACCCACAGCCTTTTCTTCCTTGCTGCTTCCCTCCTTCTTCTTATTGGCAGGGCTAGTGCTAACGCTTTCTTCTGAGCACAGGAAAGATACCTCTTTCAGCAACGGAACATACTGGAAGCTTCCTGCAGTGTGGATGTGGCCTGCTCATATACAGTCTATGGTCTCGCTAGAAGTTTTGAAAACTCTGCCCATTTTTGCTCTGTCCCCCGTGATTTCACCGGACAGAGCGTTGAACCGAGCAGCGAGCGCAGCACAAGTCGCGTTCTGTCTGAAAGCAGCATTAGGGTTAGGGTCTGCTCCATGTGTCAATGGCTAACTTTGGTATAATGTTCTCTATATCAGCTTTATAAGCTACTATGTCAATGCTGTGTTCCCCAAGTGCCCAAAAATTTTTTAATGCAAGTACCAAATGCACTGCTTTCAAATGTGTTACTCTTTTCACTTAAGAATACAGCCACATTTTATTGTCTTTTTTCTGTACCTATAACAATAAAGCTTCAAATCTAGAAGAGAATAAATGATATAACCTTGAAGACCTTGCTTGTTAGAGCACAAGTACCTGAAAATTGCACTTAAGTAAATTTAAATAATGGAGATGGCAGAACAAACGGGTGGTGCATTAGTTACCTGTCAATGTGCTGATGGCGTCCACCCCTCCGTTGTAGGCTGTTGCGTTCTGTGGCTGGATGTAAACCCAGAGGAGCTGGACGTAGCCTGACACCTGGTAGAAGCCGCACCTGCCTGTAGCTGCCCATATGCAGAAGAAGAGCAGGGCCGCAGAAGAATAACACGTCTTGCAGTCCAGTATGAGCCTCCTGAACATCCTCCCAATATGCTTTGCAGCCATTCTGCTCTTCATTCTGTTGTCAGAGTCTGCACTTTCTGACTTGTGAGCATCCTCATCTGAGTTTCTCTGTTGTGCAGAATATGTTCCGTTAAGAAATAAACTGGTTTTGGGCATGGGCAGGAAAAAGGAGGTAATCAGTGCTATGGAGACAGAGATGAGAGTCACAAACGCTAAGCAGTACAAGGACACTCCACCCAAAGACACTAGCAGCTGAGCAAGCAGGCCACCCACAGAGTAGCCCAGCAGTATGGACGCTCTGACATAACTGGTCACTCTCTGATAGTAACTGGCGTGGACCACGATGTAAATGTAGGAGAAATAGGCCACATCTGCTGCCGTGGCAATGCTGTAGCTGAAAAGGGCCAACTGAGTCGAGGGGACCCCCGAGCCAACTAGTACCAGAAGAAATGCTATGACATAGGTGAGTCCCTGGAGGATGATTACAGGCTTGTACCTGAGGAAGTCTGTCACCAGGAGGACTGGGATGAGGAGAAGCAAGCTGGAGTACGTCCACACAGGATACACCTGTCTAGTCACCTGGGGCAAGGCAGACAGAGACCTCATTATTTTTAAGAAAACAATCCCTAACTGCTGATTGCAAGAATATCTGTCCAACACGATGACAGTGCCACACAGATGCAGTCTCACCTGTATTCATTGTTAATGAGGAATTACCTCTATGTTTACATGATGGAAGAGGAAGCAGCATTCTGTTGCTCAGACTGTGACAAGTTAATTTATTTTAATACTATGCAAATAAACACAATGGCTGCAGCTTGAAAGCCAGCTCCATTTTAATAAAATTACTTAAAAACTTAAATTGTTGTAGTCATTAAGTTGTTTTTTGTGCTTCACTTTGGCCTTGACTGAAATAATATTCAAAGATGGGTTTTCATGGCAACAGCATGCACAATTTTACATTTGCAATCTCTGTCAGCTCCTGACTAACAGAATTATGTTTATGGACGACAGCAGTTGTGTTCCAATTGGGGACCATCACTTGAAGTACGCCCAAATGTTTTATTTACTGGCTGATTATTAAAGTTACAATCCCTAAAATTTTCATGAACCCACACCCTATCATTATGGTCAACATTTGTTCAGCAATAACATTTCCATTTATTTGCCTTCACTAATTACCTCTCTACACAGTGGCTTTTACTGGTGCTAATGGAGCTCACCATTCCTGTGCTGGATTCATACTGCCTGCCTAAACATGGGGGATTCATAGGAAACAATTCATGTAATCCAGCACAGGTTTATCTCAGGCCCACTGTGTAGCCAGAGTGAGCTGCACTGTAAACCAATACCCCATTCTCTCGCCTGTTGTATTTCTGACAAAGCAGCTGCTCAAGGAGTGTTGATCTAAAAGTCAATCTCAAAGTTTCTCACTTTCGTTACCTTTTTTGCTACGAACATCTGGAAATTGCAGTTTTGTTTTTGAACCATCACACGTGTCTTGGTGACACGTCACTAACTTTAGCTGTGTCCCAATTCAGGTGCCTGGATCATCGCATCCAAAAGCAAGGACTTTGATATAATTTCATCAGTGGGTCATAGGTTCAATCACCATTGCGTTACCTCATTCTGTGATAGATTGTGACTTATAAGACACTTATTTAAATGAAAATCTTTGACAATGCCACTTTAAGGATTACACTTTTTACATAATGGTTTGATATTGGTTAGCCTCTTCTCAGAGGACAAACCCTGATTAGTTTGGTGTCCCCCTAAATTTTCTTAGCAGAACCAGGAGTCCACATTTCCTTTAGAAGAGAAAGTGAAGAAAAATAACAATAAGAGCTGGACTTTGAAGAGCTAGCAAGTCTGGCAAGCTAACAGCTAGAGCTAAAGCCTCACAGTCAGGAGGTTGTCTGTTTGGGGCAAAAAAAATAAAACAAAATCTGTTGGTAAGTTTTCAGTCTAAATGCACCTTCAGACCTCAGGCTCTTTAAGTGAAATCAAATGCATCAGGTTGGTAGTAGTCTTCTCTGAAATGACTACTCTTCTTTGTTGGTATTGGTTGGAACAGGAAATTGAATGTGTGGAGTTTGCATTTTCTTCATTTTCTTCACTAACTTAGTTAATTTGTATAGCTGCATATAAAATCTCAAAAGCAATTCAGGACCACAAGCTGAAAAGGTAATTTGCATCATACATGGTTGAGCATTAAATGAGTACACCTTGAGTGTACCTGCTATAATTTGTGTGAACAAAGCATCTTCCATCTTGCCTTGTGCATCACAAAGTGATTGTCATTGCCGAGGTGTGAAGGACCCCATCTAGTTTCATCTTAATGTCACCAGTGAGCCGTGACACTGGAGAGCCAAACTTTACCTCAGCCCTGAATTTACTCAGTGCTGAAGTAAACATGACAGGTCCACTGTTGTTAGTCTGGTTCATGCCTACATCACTTTGCTCTGGTTGTACGTTATTTTATCATGTATGGAGTGAAAGTCAAATGGTGAATAATGAAAAGAAGTAACGAATATTACAATATGGACCATTCATTTACGATGACATGTTTAAATGATTAATACAGCATGTGATTACTTTAATTCAAACGGGGAATCTAACAAACCCAACACAAAGTATTTTAGAAAATTGGTAGCGATGTTTCAGCTTGTCCCACTAGTCTGGAGACAGAAAATTCGTTTGACTTGTGTACTCATGGCCGCCAGAGGAGGGATCATACTAATTTAAGTAAACATTTGAATCTTAACTCTCTTTAGTGCCACCATCAGGTCAGAGTTTTGTCTTGACTGTTTTGGTCCAAGATAGAACAGAGTAGAATAGAAAAGATCTTTACTGTCATTGTTAAAAAACAACGAAAGTAAATTTAGCAGCTCTTCATCAATGTGCAGGACAAGCAGCATAAAAAAAACCCGAACAGCAGCATAATAAAGGCACAGATTTAAAGGCACATAAAAACAGTACAAAGTGACAAAGTGCATATGTGAGTGAGTGTGTGTGAATGTAGAATTGATAGTTGTAGTGTGATGAAATTGATGGTGATTGTTGTGGGGGGGGGGGGCTGTTTTTTTAGTCTGTTTGTTTTGCATTTCATTGTCCTGTAACAGCTCTGTCCTAATTCCACAAAATATATGTACTTTGTTTTCACACCTAGTATTCAGGAAATAAAAATAGTTCAGCATGAAGAAATAATGATGGTTTTCTAGTCTAAATACAAAACATTCAGATTAGACACATCGGATTAGAAAGTGGCAATGACCCAGGACACAGCAAAAGCATCTTAAATATTTATATCTAACCCTGACCCTATATTTCCTGTACCGTCAGAAACCTAAACACCTCTGTTATGGGTCACAAAGGCTCACACACGAGCGGATGTGGACACCTCCCATGTGTCATTTGGTTTTTGAGTGTCACGCAAGCTTGATGTTGATCCAACTCCTGTCAGGATCAGAATTTGAAGTGTAAGTATAAAACAAAAGAAAGACCCACAAATGTCATCGAGCGTCCCCTGACCTGTGTGCGTGTTTAGCCTCTGCCACGCAGAGGAGCATAAAGCCGAATCGCAAAAAGTTTACAGTGTATAGTATAGTCTGTTCATGTTGTCAGGTGTAATGAGCAATGTAGCCACTATGGGTTTGCGAACGGGGCTTTAGACGTTTGTTTTACTATCTTGCGTTTGCTTTTCTCCCTCTCACAGGTCAAAGGAAGGACAAAAACAAAGCTGGAAAAGCCTATGATCCTGGCACAGGAGGCTATATGTAAAAACAACTCTTGCACACTATAACCATCTGAATGCCACTGTATGTGATAAACAGAGAATTAATTATGAAGTTATAATGAGATGGAAAATTGTAAATAATTATATTGACGTATAAATATTTTATATTTACTTGTGTATTAAATTTTATAACCAGTAATTTCTAATTAGAAATGTATTAAAGCAACTAGTGTTATAACTAGTATAATGTATTTATGTGTACATTTCAAATGCACCTTGAAACCATGAAACCATGTTATTCATTTTTACATAACGTTGTTTCATTTGATGTACATTATTCTTATTATGTGCATTAAAACATAAACAACTGAGCAAATCTAATAACCTGAGGCTTCCATCACTATAAAACAGGCACATATCTAATTTCATAGCTCAGTAGCTCACCTGCTCGGTGGTGAGATTCTTACAAGTTCCCGTGAGAAACTCTGTCAGGAAGGGCTCTATGGGCCTCATCATGGAGCAGAAACCATAGATGCAGAGCAGCACAGTGGGGCCCACCCATCCAGCATGGCAGGGCATATAATGGCCTGCCCGGCAAGGCCTGTTGCCACACTCCCCGCTCCAGCAAAAACCCATCGTTCCTCTCAGGCTCCCCGGGGACGTCTCACTGCGTCCACCGAGAGCATGAGTCTAAATTAGGCAGTTTAATCTGTTGAGATATGGAAGTCCCAGATAAGGCCAAGGTGAGACGGACTGTGAACACCAAGTCACCTGCTTCACCCATTGTTGTTTCTCTCCTCTGAAGTTTTCCTGGCCACGGCGAGACAGGAAAAAAATGTGAGGCTGTGAGTGAAGATACATTAAGATGAAATATGAGGTGGTGAGCCCCTGGGGCTCCAGCAGGCTATAATAAATACTGTCTCCTCCTCTGTCTTTATACAAAAACACCCTCATTCCTGCAGATATTGAGGAAGGGGTGGAAGTCAAGCAGAGGAATATGTATGAGTGTGTCTGTATGTGGGGGGGCAGCAGGGTGGTGTGTACACCTGCACTGTGTGCCTGTTTAGCTTCTGCCACCATTAGCCACTGGAGTCCAAAACAATCTGAGTGATGCAATGCTTCAACACTGTTTTGATTGGAGCAATAATGAATTTAAAAATGATGCATTGCCTCTTTTTTTAGGCTGCTTAAAAAAAATAGAATGAACTACAGACACATCCACAAATATCATTTAGCTCAAAATTAAACTCACCCAAAATTCAATTTCCCAGAGAACCTCATCTGATCAGATCATCTTACACTCAGTATTTTGTCTTTGTGACTGTCAGAAACAGGAAGTCTCGAACTTTAAAGTCAGGTTTTTTTTTTTTTTTTTTTGAGTTTGCTTGGGTGGCTCGGCAGCGAATTCTTAATACTTAGGGAAAGAAATAAGCAAGGCAATCATTTCCGAGATGAGAATTACTGTAGTCTGTAATTTAAAATATCCAGCGGCGAATTATGACTCACCAGTGGGGTGTCAACAGAAAGCTCTGCCTGAGCTCAAACTGTCAGAGTGTCTCCATGACTTAATTCTCAACTTCAAGGTCACGGTAAGTATTATTCATATTCACGTGTTTGGCATTTCTGGTTTTAATGTTGTCAGATTTACAATGTGTGATGTTCAGTAACTGTGGCCGTAGGAAACAGATACAGAAAGTGGAATTATAATGTTTTACTGATATTTTCCTTCTATTCTTTTGAATAAAATTCTCTTTTATGCTGTTATTATCGGTACAACGTAATATGAAAAGGTCAGATATTCATCATTATTAATTCATGTGCTAATGTGTCTATAGCTGAAATATTTAACATGCTGGAAACTGCATTTATGTGCAATGGATTTGCATGTTGTGGGAAAATTACTTCCTTAATTATGTCCAGTTGCAAGATTCAAGTGAAGGAATTGGAAGCTTTTTGTTCCATATGTACAAGTTATGGGGACATGGTCAGGGTGGATGGTGGACGTACAAAACAAAACGCATACACATGTCGTATCCATAATGTAGTTAGGTTTAGTTAAAAGGTGCGTTAGTTAAAGGGGCTATTTGTAAGCTTTCTCTGCCGCTGAACATGGTTTCTTGTCGGGAGCGGGTGGTGGTGATTGTCGCTTGACAAGAGCTTCAGCCATCGTTGCGTTCATAAGAGAAGAGGTTGTATTACGCTCTCTGAGCAGCGCTACGTCTTCAGGGCAGATTGGAGGCTACAGTGTGTTGCTATTGGAAAGTGACAAGACAGGCCGGGGCTAGCTGCTAAGAAGTAGAAGTTTGATGCTGAAAATGCAACTTTTCCTCTCGACTGGTAATTAAATAGCTGTTAATGCTAATGCTAATGCTAACGTTCGCTATGTAGCAATAGCAAAATTTACTTACAAATAGCTCCTTTCATGTAAGGGGTAAATTGTGGTTTCAGTTTCATGAGAAACCACAATTGTCCCTTATCCTTAACAAAGTCCTGTAAGTTCACATAACATAAATTAAAATTTTTTTTTTAAATTAACTATGCTTTCATCTCTGTCAGTGAATGACTTTAGCAGACACGTTCAGTATTAACATTTTGTAACTTGCCAGGTATGTTGATTAAAATGTTGCCTGATTAAAAAATGTAATTTGGGTGGTCTTACAATTTTCTCAAAATACATTTGCTGTGGCAAATTAATGCATTATAAATGGATTTTTCAGGACACTGTGTTGGGGTAGGATAGCTTTAAAAGGCCCTCTTATATACCAAGTCTGAACTGGGGAAAACTCAACCCTGTCTCCTGGTGTATTTGACCTTTCATCAGCTTCAACACTTTAACCTTTCATGCCCTTTTTAAATACATTTTTTTTGGATTGCTGTGTTCCTAATTGTGCTGAATGATTTTCAACCTGAAAGAAAAACACATTGAAGGTTTTGATTGCTTCGTTAAAAAAGTGTTCATTAAATGTTTTTAGTGTCCTCCTCCTAATCTCACGTCCATCATCATTCTCTCAATCTGCCAAATCTTCTATTCCCTCTATAGGTTTCGGGTTTCATACTATAATAATACCACAGGGGGTAGTTCTGATATTAATAATTGCAGTGGGAGGAGTAGCATCAGCAATATAGAACTAGCAGCTGTTTCCGCACCTGCTGCATCCCTTCATATAAACCACAACTTCATTCAATTAGATTTTCTTTTTTACTATAGTCTTAATCTCTACTTCTGTTTCTTATGTGCTAGGACACCATTTGTTATTCACATAGAGAAACAATCTATATTCACACTTTCTTTTTTTATCTTTCATTTTTTAAACATCATTTATTCATCAATAAAGTTTTGTTCAGTTTCCTGTTGTTAAAATAAGACTACTAAGTATTATAGCGAAAGTAAAATAACATTAACACAACAACACTGCAAAACGCCTCCCTCATCCTGCTCTCTGGACTTATTACACTCTTAATCATCTCTGACTTGCCATCTTATTACTATTAATTTACAGCAGACAGAGATGGACCTCATTCTCATTTTAAGGAGTCAGACTACCTCATTTTCTCTTTTTTTCCCCTCTGTAATATCCTCCAGTCTGTGCTGAGACTGAAGTGATGATCAAAGGTATCTATCCTCCCTTTGTGCTTCCTTCCTATCTGTGCGTCCATGGTTAAAGATAGAGTTAGACAGTCTTACGCTACCTGAGCGGGGGGGGGGGGGGGGGGGGGGGGGGGGGGGGCATGACCACCTGCAGTGTGCAGTAGGGCGAAATGGAGCTCAGCATGGTGAAGAACATCTAAAGGCTCATGGTACCATATCCATGTGTGTAAACTGCAACCAGCTCAGGAAAAAGAAAAAAAAAAAATTCCTTAGAGGAAACCGTGTGGAATTTGATTTTGGTGTGTGAACATGGACTGAGATTGACACTTTGTTGAGTAAGCTCTGAAATGCCCTGGTTGACCCTGCTGTGAACAAAGAGTTTGTTCAGAGTTTAGCCCCACAACCAACCCTTTCCAAAAAAAAAAAAGAAAAAAAAAAAGACGAAAGCCTCTGCAAGAAATACATTTTAAATGTCACCTTTGTCAAAGGGAAGTCGTTCACTACATATTTTGTTCTCAACAGTGTTGCACTAGGGTTATTCAATTTCCTGTCTGTACCCTCGCTTAATATTTCAATTAACCTATTTATCCTTTCCTCCTCATCACTTCTGATTGCAGCATCTGACATAGTGAGTGTTCAAAGGCAACCCAGATGCATTGATTCCTAACGCCTCACAAACCCTTCTTCCCACAATCTCCTTTTTTTTTCCATGCTGGCAAATCATATGAGGCTGCTACAGTCAGGAGCCCGACTTTGAAACAAACAGTGAGTGTGTGCGGGTGCGTGTGTATGGGTGTGTGTGTGTGTGTGTGTATGTGTGTGTGTTGGGGGGTGTATATTGAGGTGTTTGTCAGGCCCAGATAAGCATATGTGTGCAGTGGTTCAGCTGCAAAACAGGACTCCCACTGTGTTGAGCTGATAAGACGTGGAAGTTTCGATGTGTTTTTTTTTTTTTCTACCCCTCCTCCATTATGGCTCCTGTTGATTTTATTGGACAATGAGTCATACTTATAATAAGGCTGAAACTAAGTTTAAAAACACAAACACAATACAATCCAATACCATTTACACACTTTTTTGCATTTAAAATATTCACATGAAGTACCACTTAATTTGGACGGTGCAGTTTTGATAGAGTTATCAACGAAACACTGTCTCCATAACCTGGGTTGTTGTGGCTGCTCCATACAGCTGTTTCTTTTATCAAGAGTGATCCAAACCACTTTATATTGGGCATTGACGTTACACAGGTGTTAAGATTAGATTTTAAGTTTTATCTAACGGAGCTATTTATAAGTTTTGCTGTTGCTAGCTAACGTTAGCATTGACAGCTGTTTACTTCCCATTCTAGAAGAAATGTTGTGAGTTCAGCATCAAACTTCATTCCTTTATCCACCAACAGCTGTCCCCAGAGGTGGAAAGCAACGCCAATGTTAACCCTTATCTCTATCACATCTTTTCTTCTCCTGAAGTTAGCATGCTAACCAGCTAGCCCCAGGCTGTTACTTTCCGATACAGAGTGACTGTAGCCTCCAATCTGCCCTGAAGATGTAGCACTGCTAAGAGGGCGTATTATAACCTCTTGTTTTGTAAACGCAGCGATGCACGAAGCTCTTATCAAGCGACTACCACCACCACCAGCTCCCAGAAAGAAATCACATTTGGCAGCAGAGAAAACTTAATAGAATAGAGAAAACAAATAGCCCCAACTAGCAACAACAAGTAATAATACAAGACCGATTTTAGTTGATATCGTATTTCAGTGGAGCAAATTCCCTGATAAAGTTGCAGTTACCAAAAGCTAAGTGATACAGTGTGAACCTTGGATTTTTTGGGACCCTTAGAGGAGTATGGGGTCTATTCTGATTCATACTGATCTATACTGTCTACTATATTAATATGGCTCTATACTGAATTTCACCACATTTTAAATCTAGGTCAAATACTGAACAGACACACACACACACACACACACACTATAGACTGCATTTCACTGTATTCTCCCAAGTAAAACTCTGACTGATACAGTCAGATGAAAACCAGCTCT